GCATTTTAAGGCACAAAGCTCGTTAGAGGAGAACTGCTGATGAGTTATGCTCTCAGGGAAGCCACCTAGCAGGAGGGAGAGGAATAGGAAAGTTTCTCACAGATTATTGAATATTCTGTCTTTAATATTTTAATTAATGGCCACAGCACAAAAGTAGGAACACGCTCAAAAATTTGCAAAGAAAATGAGAAAGGTGTATCTGAAAAAAGGATTAAAAATACCACATGGGAAGAAGGGGGTAACTTTGCATGTGAACTGTAGTATGAAATAATTTTGAAGTGCAAGAATAGTGTTTCTATATAAGAATTATATTTATATTCTGAAATAAGAAGCCAGAAGTTTGGGATATTGGGCTTTTTGAAGCATTTTTTGTATTTACAATATTGCTTCCTCTAGAAACCATCCCCTCCTGTACGTAGTTATCACAACACCAAGCAGGTTGCATTTTCTTTTCCTTTGAGGAAAAAATTATTACATCATTACCTTTTACAGCTGTTCCAGATAAGGAGAATAACAAAAGAATTCAAATTCTTGAAGAAAATGTTTAAAGCCATCCCTGTTTTAGAATGAATTATGGTCTCATGTAGAATCCTCAAGGCTTCTCTAATGGCAGCAAGCAAAACATTTGCCTGAGCTTGGCAGATAATAGGCACTCTAAGGATCAAGATATATTATTAAAAATTATTTCTAACAGTGTGTCTGTCCCTTTGCCCACTGCTTGAAGTCAAACATGAGTTTTGCATACAGAATACATTTCTCCAGGAATGCTGTCTGGTCCATTATTATAAGATATGGCAGCTGCTGGCTTACAAACAATAAAATAATGAAAACAGGTAAATTAGATATAATGAGATAAAATTAAAAATAGTTTGGTGTCTGTCCTGCTCACCCTTCAGTGGAATTATAGTTTTACATCTCTTTTGGCAATTACCTGACTCTAGGAAAAAAAACGAAACAAAAACTCTTCATACTCCAGCAAAACTCAAAATTGCTTCTTTCTCCAATAGGAATTCCAGGTATTTAAGGAATGAACCGAGACTTAAAAATACCAGAAAAATTCCTGTCTCTCCTGACTACTGAAATCACAGCAATCTGATGGAGCAGAGAAATCAGGGGTGCCAGGGACAAGGCAAAGCACCCAGACATGAAGAGACTCGTAGGGGCTGAAGGTCAGGAGGTGACAGGGACAGCAGGACGTCCCCCATCACTTCTGGCCAGTCATGATCCGTGTCCCATGGGATTGCATCCCAGGATTAGCCAGTGGAACAATCCCCCACATGCTTCTGCGGCTTTAGCACAGAGGCAGATGTGAACAAGCAAGAAATAATCTTATTTTCTGATAATTAACACCGTGAGACCATGTTTAATTTCACCAGCACAAACACCAGGAAAGTCAGTTGTCAACAGGACTGAAAACAAGAATATTTGCACCTGCACAGCTCTAAACTTGCTACTAATAGTCAGGGCTTAGTGCCATAAGCAGATTACACAATAGTTAGGCAGGTTACAATAAGAAGGTTAGTAAGATTAGGCAGGTTGCTGATTAGCTCTAACAACCACACTACCAACACAGCCAGCAAATTCTGGTTGCCAGGATAATGAATTGTTACAAACCACATTATTCAGATGATTTCAGGCACAGCTTTCCACACTTGTAGGTGTACCTGGTTGTCGGGTTAACTTGCTGCACACTTTTTAATGTGTGTTCCATGCCATCCCACATTTTGTAAGATGGGCAAAAGACACACAAATTATGCTTGTAATAAGTAGTAAAAGCAAAAAAAAATCAGCTTTTAGTGTGTGTCATTGTGATTAAGCTCTGCTCTGGGGATCTCCATCCTGTAACACCTTTATCCCCAAGGCACTGGAACTGCCAAGGGCACCATCCCAGCTACTCACATCTGACACTGGGGGCCACACAAACAGCTGAGTGTGAGGCAACAGCACTTGAAAGGGACCAGTTTGGGGTTTTGAACTCGGAGTTTTCTAACCAAAAACATTGCACAGCAGAATTCCGGCCCAAAGTGCTGCAGCTCACCTGACTGACACACACAGGCTGTTCGTGGTGCCACTGCAAAACACCCACTCCTAACAAATGGGATAACCCTAACCTATCAATGGGTTCATAAAGTCTGTGATACTGAAAGCTGTGAGACTCCCCAGGGCAGTGAGAGTTCCCTATATCCCTTGCTTGTTAACCAGACCCACAGCTTATTCCTGGGTGAAGCCTTCCTTCTCCTGGTACTCTGCTAATGCTGATTTAATTCAGGCCTAACAAGCTGAGGCTGAGTTTAACTCTGCCTGTGGAGCTGGCTGGGTACCTGTTTGCCTGCTCCAGCTTGTTCCTGACCCTGAGAACTGGCACACAGCCCCTCCTGTTCCCACAGCTCCCTCTCCTCCCTTTCCCACTGAAAGGCAGCTCAGTGTTGCCCAGAAAAAGCCCTCAGTTTCCAACCAGCCACACAACTTCTGGGTAATATTCAACTTTGTGTAAAGGGTAACTAGGAAAAAGCTGTTCAGTTTTAAGCAACAGTCAGTTCCCTCTCAGACACCTCGCTGGCAGCACCACACCCAACTCAGCTCTCTGCACTCCCACCCTAAGGCAGAGCCAACACTTCCAAAATGTGGAAAATTCCAAAATCCATTAGAGGGCACACAGCTGAACTCTGCACTGGTTACCTGTGACTGCACTCCATTTAACACTAAATGAAAATAAAATTCACCCTGGAAGATGGGTCTGTGGAAGAGAACTCTTCTTTTCGAGTCAGAGTTGCCACATCCCAAAAGAATTTCCATTCCCTGCTGCTGCTGGCAGCTGAAGGGGCAGGGAAACCATGAGGGGAACATCCAGGTACGTAAGGACCTTCCAGCACTCTCCCTGCTTTCCACCCTGTTCTCACAAGTCTTGTGTCTTGACAAAGAAAACTCTACAAAGTCTGTAAAAAGCTCTGAATTCCTCAAGCAAAAGAAATTCTGGAAGGGCCAAATATTAGGATAAAAGGGTCAAGTCTGTAGATGAGATGCCTGAAGGTTTCTCAGATCAGAGCACAAAATTACACAAAGAAGTTGCACATTGCAATTTGTCTGCTTAGGCAAATCCTCTTGCAGTAACCAGGTAGTTTCCAGGATGGGGTTAGATTTGGGGATTTTTCTTTAAATCCCAGTTTTATCAAAACCTCAGTAAGACACATTATCTAAACAATGGCAGAGAAACGCTGAAAATCTGCTTCCCTTTTATTTGTGAGTTGTGCTCCATCCTAACTCACTGCCAAAAGCCCCTTTCATACATCACCCACTCAACACAAGCCTCCAGCTCTGCTGTTTCCTTCAGGCAGCATCCTGCAAAATATGGAAAAGATTATAACCTGATAAATTATTTGTAATTTGTGCATAGATGGCTGTGGATACATAAATGAGAACAAAGGGCTGAGGCAGAAGGACGTACTTGATAAAGTACCTGTGAATTTTTTTATCCTTTACCAACGTGTGGTTTCAAAGAACTGTTTGAAATGAATTGAAAGTTTGTTTCAGGTGACAGGGAGCAGTCCCTCTCCTCTCTCCTGGCTACTTACTGTTGAAAAGAGTCCAAGGCTGGTCCAGTCCAGATCAAAAAGTCTTTCTGAGCTTTCAGTAACTCTACTGAGCTTGCTGAAATAGTAGAAATAATCTCAGGAAAACACTCCAGACCACAACAGAAGTTCTTTATGTTTCTTTCTTTCTTCTTTCCTCATTTTGGTGAGGATTGGTGGATGCAGAAGGGGAGGGAAGATCAGATGACTGCTAATAAAGATGGGGAAGCAAAGGAGAGGAGCTGTTCATTTATCTCAGCGAGAACACACAAGCACAGCCCAAGTGTGTGTTTCTTATTTTCTGTTTAATGTACATAAATCAGTTCTCAAATACACCGAGGGATCTGACAATCATTTCCCCCAGACTTCTGTTTTAAGCCTAGCACACATTTTTTACAGTTATTTTGGAACTATGACAGTCTTTTAGGGTTTTTATTTGTTTGGGTTATGGCTTTTTGGAGGGAGGGAGTGAGTGGGGGATTGTGTAAGGGTTTGGGGTTTTTTTTAGAACTTCCTGCAGCATAATCTCTTTGGACTCTGTATTCCAGACAATTTGCTGCAGAATATCTACTTATACCCCAGTCACACAAAGAACAATCACAAGAGGTATTGTACTCTCTACTATAAACACTGGTAGAACAAAATAGTAAGATTAAGGGGGAAATAGTTAAATATAGAACTCTTTTCTTTCCAAAGGAAATAACATGATTTTCACCCCAGCCTCTCTTGTCATTGTTACAACAATGGTTCATTTTAGGCCATATCTGACTGCTCTTGGAATCAGGAAACCCTGGCACAAATGTGCTACAGCAGCTTGTGCTTTGTTTGCACTGAACGCCTGGGCCAGCACTGCAGGCTTCAAGGGACTTGCTAGAGGTTAATAGAGCTGCTGCAGGGGTAACATTTTCCTAGAGCACAATTCCAACCATGTTCCAGTGCTCCAGAGCACTGGAAAGCTCTGCAGGTCAGGAAAATGAGGCTGACTTGTTGGAGCATCTGAGCTCTCTGGATAAACTTGTTCATTTTGCACTGGGGCAGATGTTCAGTGACCAGCTGTTTGTTGATCAGGCCTGGATCCCAGCTTCATAGGAGGAGGATGTGTGGCAGAAAAGCACTTAACAGCACATTTCCAAGCACTTATTCCCAGGAAGATCCCTACCACTGACTCCACAGGAATTACAGCTCAGTTCTCAGGATCTGACATGTTAGAGTTCAGGTTTTTTTTTAATCTATCCATTCCCCTTAGCCCCAGACCAGAATTGTGGCCTGCAAACTGACATCCCCGGAGAGCATGGAAGCATTAGGATATCTTACCTGCATCTCCAGAACTCATCTTCACTGCCACCGCCAATATAGTGCTGCTCTTCACACCAAGCAAACACAAAATTCATATTGAGGCTTCTTGCTTCTTTCCTAATTAATATGATCTTTCCCAGTGCAGGAAACAAACAAACAAGTCACTTTTCTTCCTTATATTTCAAAAGTCAAACTGCCTCAGAGGAAGCACAGGAATTGGAGAGAAAACTGCCCCACCCTGGCATCACACATCCACATCTCCTCTGATAAGCAGCTTCTTGTTTTCCAGAGTCAAGATTTCTCCTTTTTTTCCTTTCTTTGTCCTTTTGAGCTTGGATTTTTAACTCTTCCATTTCAGAAGAACATCTGTCTGCATTTCATGTTGGTCCTTTGGGTTTGCACTTCCTCTCCATCTAGAATCCCTTCCAGACAGGCCCTTGAGTCCTCCAATTTAATTAATGCTCTGCTCTGGGAAGGGGGAAAGACACCACCTGATAAGTGCTCACTTTGAACAACAGTTTAAATGTTTTCTGCTCAGCAAAAGGAGTCTGAGCAATCATTTGAAAAAGTGAGGTGGGAGGTCAGGAGGTCCTGTCAGAGAAGTGGGTGCTTTGATGGAAACAGGGAACAGGATCTCACCCACATCTTCCTCAGGACTCATTTTAAACAGTGAAAATAAATGTTATAGCTGGGCACATTCCACAAGGAAGGCACCAGAGCCCCACCAGCTGTAGAAATTTGCTATATTAAAGCTGTACATTATCTTGTCAGCATGCAGAACTCTTCCTTAGCCAGTCCATTAATGTTAATGACATCCCATCTGTGTTTCCCCAGCCCTGGCTCTGCCCAAGTGCAGAGCTGATTCCATCCTGAAGCAGCGAGCTGCTGGCAGCCACAGCACTCTCCATGTCCAAAGGCTGAGTGCCTCCCCCAGCTGTGAGGGATACAGAGCAGATCCATCTTTCTCCAGATCTGTGGCAAAGTTTCACACTCAGAGCTCTCTGTGCCTCTCAGCTGAGGCCGCTGGAGAGAGACTGCAGCTCTTCACTTCTTGTCTCTCCATTAGCATTCCTTCCCAGCTTTCCTCTTCCCCAGAGCTGTAGGGGAATATTCTGGCCAAGAGAATGCTCTTAAGACTATGATGCTTAATATTCCTGCTGGGATGATTTACAAGCATCTTCAAAACTCTGGAATCCTTTAAAATAAAAAAAAATATTTAGACCATGTTTAAAAAAACCCAAGACTGACTTCACACTCACTCCAACCACTCCCTCAAGGAATTCCAAAGGCTGGAAAAGGAACACCTGCACCAAATGTTTCCCAGGCAAGGGGAACCTGGAGTTCATTCCAGTGGGGGAATCCCCACAAAGACATAAAACTCGTCAGCTTTTGAATAAATGAAATTTTGTAGTCAGAGACAAAAATAACATCAGGGAGTATCCAAGACTGACTGCTTTCATTCTCTTAATATATCTGGCTAATGTGGTGTGTTGCTTAAGTGACCAGAACTGAGGGAACTTTGGGGATGATCAGTTGTTTTCACAACTGATGTTTCAAAGCACCGATGAGCAGCTCCTGTACATTGACAGCACCCTGAAAAACACCATTTTTCTTCACCCCTTCCACCAAAGAAGAGAAAATTACAGGTCAGAGTCACCTTATCAGCGCAGCAGATGCATTAGCAGGGGAAGGAATCAATCCAGTCAATAATGGAATTGATACCTGTCTATAGTTAGAAAATGCCTTTTACAGAACAAGCTGTTCTTCTGGATCACTGAGAAATGGCAGAGTTTTATTGAGTTTCTAAACACACAGCTACATGTATAATTAATATTGTCTCACTCACAGGCATCCAGAGTGTTTTAGGATTTAAAATATTCCTTTCTTTTGCTGTTTCCTTCTCAGGAATGGGTCTAACACCTGTGGGGGAAAGGGGAGACAGGGAACAGGGTTAGGAATTTCCTCTATAATGAGCAGGGGCCTGGTGTACAAAGTTTAAGGTGGTGGATGCAGTGACTACTCAGAATCCACTGAGCAGGAAAACATGATTCAGGCTTCTCTTTCTGACCCACTGTGGGGTGGCAGGACAGTGACTTTGACTTTCTGCTCCTCCATCCCTAAAGCAGAAACAATATCCACCCACATTCCCAATACTCACTGAGGTGGTAGGATGACAGGCCTCACACATGTGGAGTACTCTGGAAAAATGCAAATTGGATTTGTTTTGGATCAAGCCCACCAAGAGATGCATCCCAGCCACTAGAGGGAAGCTGGTCCCAAGGACTAAAGGGCTAAATCCCTTGAGACATGGACAGACCAACCCTGAGCCTGTGGCACTGAGCATTCCCCTCTCCAGACTGCCACACCTAAAGGAAATGTGGGCAAAGCCCTGCAAGGGGCACAGCACAGTCTTAAAGAGGAAGACAGTGCTGGGCACAAAAATACTTAAGTTTCACACTATCTTCTTACTACTCTCTTTTTGAGTTCAAAGCTGGCACCTACTGTGCAAAAAGACTTACTTGATGTGATGGAGAAAATAATTTCTTAAGGATGTGAAAGCTTGCAAACATTCCAAGAAGGAACATCTGACTTTCAGCTCACCTATTCCTTGAAGAGATATTTTATTAAGATGGGATTCACAGTACGAGACAAACTCAGTGGTATTATTCCAAGTAATCAGTTTTGTCAACAGACCAAATAAATAATGCACTATGGGCCTTTTGTTACCACTGATGTCATCAAGAAGTGAAAATGTTGGCAAGCTGCCATGTTTGAATATCTAAGAATATCTATTAAAAAGCAAAATATACCTAGCAGATATAATCCATACTATCAATACTATATTCTCTTAACCCTTCACATCATCTCAAACATAATTAAAAAGTGGCATTTTTGAAGTGGGCAACTAATTTGGGTTTTTTTGGCCAGCTTACTCTCTTCTAGTACTATCAAAAGTAAAACTTTTAAACACACAATTTTAGAGCTCTTCACTTAGGCAGTAAACCTCTTTCTCTAAGAAGCATTCACAGAGGAACAGAAGAAACAACATTTTTTTCTCTTTTATACATGAACAGAGAGCAGGTATAAAAGCAGAAAAGGAAATATAACTCTTAATTTTTGAGGAGAAGATGAAGGAAACACTAGGATTTCTGTAACAGAATAACATGGGCCCCAGAAGCAAAACAAAATAAAATTAATAAGCACCAACAAAATTAAGGTGAATTTTTATGCAGTCTTGTTCTTCATGAGTAACAAATAGCCTCACATTTACTTTGGTGTTATGGAGCTTTTATAAATCTCATTTTGTACCAGTAAAAGTCAGGAACAGCAGTTTGAAGTGAACAGAATTTCACTCTTCAGATGTAGCACAAGCTGCATATCAGCACATGCCCCTGCTTGCTATTTCTAGGAAGAACAAAAGGCATATTTACCAACCACAATTTAATTACAATTAATGTAATGGCAAAAACTTTGGCTTTATTACATTTCTTTAATTTTAATTTCCAAGTTTTCTTTACTCTTGGATCCTTCTGAGCATAAAGTGCACAGTTTTTCTTCAGCTAAAACAGAAATAGCAGGAGATCAATACAGGTTTTCATCAGATCAATAACAACAAAATCCAATATGTCTCATGGAACCATAATTTATACTCTCTACAGAGGTGATTTTCTATTGGTAAAGTCAGTAAGACTTTCTTCATGAATAAGTTTCAGTTAGGAATTGGGTGAACTCACCTGGTAAAGCCACCTATGCATCACAAACCTATGAGTTTTCACAATTTGCCATAAAAACATTGCCAAGAACACAGAAAAAAACACCTGTGTAGTCAGAAGAAGTGATAAAAGGGAGCTGAAAAAATCTGAGAAATGTAAGTTTTTGTACTGGTAGGATTAGTACACTAGGAAAACCACCTGGAGCTGAGAATGCTGAAGTGGAGATGTATAAATGATCTTATTATTTCTACAGCACTTCCTGTTAAAGCTTTAGGCAGCCCAAGGAATGCAGCACTTCAATAAAGAAGAGTGTTCTGTCAGGACCATCAGTGGATCATCACCCAAGAACCAAGTTCTGCTTCCTTAATTAAGAGATCCCAAATTGTGTTTCCATGGGACTGCTCCTGACAGCACCCTGAGCAGGACTGGGCTCCTGAAAAGATGCCAAATTAAATAAATGCTTCTGGAATCTTAATCCAAATTCTCACTACTGCATGGAAGAGGTTTGCATATGACAAAATCACCAGGTTTAATCACATCCACAGAGCAGAAGCACCTCATGACCACTGAGCCTGAGGCTGTGCTGGGAATTACAGTGCAAAAATAGTTCCCAAGAGTTCATAATCTAAGTGGTTAAGGCAGAAAAAGTCATATTCTTATTAAAAATAAGCCTTATAGGCACAGTATCTTAAATTTAAATAATGACCTAGCCTTGATTCCAAATTGATTTTATCAGTGTTTTTACCTTATACTTCAGAAAAATACTACAGTGTGACTAATTCCCCCTAAGGGAAAAAGAAAAGGAATTAAGAACAGCACATTTCAATAGAAACAGTACCTCTCAATCAATGCTTTAATGTTTTATTAAAACTCCTGCTATTAGGGAAATGGCAAAGCCCAGATTCACACCTCACCTGCAGGTCTCCTTACTGCAATATGGCTTTCAGCAAACAAACAAGCATTTCAAAGTTTGGGTTTTTTAATATAATTAAAAAAATAAGTCCTTTGGGCCAGCAATATCCTCTGTCAAAGACTGAGGTGTTAAAATTGTATCAGTAATTTTCCACCCAGGTATCTGGCTGGCAAGATCCAGGTGCAATTTAGGCCTATGTGAAATTAAGGAATCTGAATAAATAAAATTAGGGATACATGAGGTACAGTTCTGCAATTAAGAAGGAAATTAATGCACCTAATATTTATAATATTACATAAAGAATTGCTAGAGTCAGAAGTAGAAAGCTTGGAAATTCCTTGCATAAAAATTCCTAATGCTCTCAAACTTATATCCTCAACAAAAGCAGAACAAAAATGTAGGGAAGTGTCCCAGCCAAATGAATATTGAATCCTAATCCAATATAACATAACACTAATTTGTAAAAGGCCAGCTAACCAGACATGTGCCTTTGATTAGATTTTATTACCTATATTTAGAAGAATCACTTTTCTTATCAGTCTGGACTTCAGGAAAGCACTTGAAGCAAGGAGCTGGTTAAAATGGAGACAAGAATATCCCTGTAGGATGAGACACACTGAGCCAGGGAAGAGAAAAATTGGAAAGCATTAAGCTAAGGAAAGGCTAAAATTGATTTTATTTAATAATCTTTGAAATGAGCACAGGAGAGAGGGAGGAAAGGCAAAGGAAAGAAGGAGTACTAATGTCACAGGTCTGGGAATACTCAGGGGATAGATGGAAACAGCTGATCTTCACACTGCTGGTTACTGAATTTTTTGGATTTGATACAGTTGCCAGAACAAAGTCATGAAAAAATAAAATAAACCACAATTCCTTGCTCCTTCTGATGGGTTTTTTTAACAGCATGTAGATGTCTTCTAAAACACCCAGCCTAACTTTCTATAAACTCTTACTCTGTGGAAGCAGAAATTTTAAAAGGCCACAAAAATGCTTTACAGGTCACCAGTTATGAGGAGGTAGATGTATCTCATATTTTTCAGGGATCCTGAGGTGTGATGCTCCTGAACACTACGATGAAGTAACTTGAGAACAAACCCTGCCCCTAGAAACAAAATAAAAGCTAGTGTTTCTGAAGTCCTACCCAGATTCAATTATTAGAGCAGCATTAAATGACATAATTAGAGCTTCCTTTGATCGCTGATATTCCTGACTGCAACAGCACTGCAGACAAAGCAAGATTTCAGTGTTCAGAGCAATTTCTGGAAGGATAAAGTGTTAAAACACAGACAAACCAAATTAGTGTTCTAAAGTGCTGTGAGAGGAGATGACATCATCACTCCAGCCCATCTGGGAGGAAGAACAGGGAGCAACAGATGAGCCAAAATCACGCCTGGCACAAAAGAAGAGAGTTCCACTGACTTCAGGAAATTTATCCCAGTGTTCCTGCGTGTTGCAGGTTACAATGACACACTTCACAGCCTAGTAGAGGTGAAACAAGGCTAAAGCCACAAAAACTGATTTAACGTATTCATTTAGGGCAATTTATTATTTTCACTACATGTTTGTAGATGCTAAAAATCAAGACTGTGGCAGCTACTCACATGGGTCAATATGCTAAACAAGGTGGCTATTTCTGCAGAGATAAGAAAGAACATATGGTCCTTATTGTCAGCTAAGGGTCCCTTTTAAAACAATTTTCCTCAATCTGATTTGCCTCACAATTACCCTAGATCCTGCCATGATTGCTCTCATGAAGCATTCACAGAATTTGGCTTCCCTTGAAGATGTATTTTCCTTTTCCCTGGTGACCGCCTTTATTATTGATTTTTAGATAATCCCCCCGCAGTTACTGGAGAAAGGTTTTGGCAAGTTTCCCCCGAGGCTGCAGATGCCTGTTACCTTATCAACAGAGCATCCTTCCTCCCCTGAGCCCACAGGCTGGGCACTGCCTCCTTCCCTGCGCACACCCCGTGCAGGGACCGCATTCAGTAGCCTCTCCCTGGCCAGCAATGAAAGCCACAGCTGCCAGCCCCAGCAAAAGCCTGTCCCGAGTGAGGCTTGGCTGGACACAGCTGCAGAGAACTCAGAAATGCCTTTTCCCATAGCAAAAACGTGCTGGCAGAAATTTGGCCCATTGCAGCCTCTGGTTACTGGAAGGAGAGCAGGTTTGTTTGAAAGACCCTTTCAAGCAATGCAGAACTGTAATCAGGAAAGTACCGTCATTAACATCTCTGACACAAGAGGTTGTATCAGAGAAGGAGGGGCTCTTTTGTCAGAGAAATAACAGAATGGATATTCTATTAACAAATCACCCCTCTGACAACAGGGCTGCCAGCATGTAAACTGCATTATGAGATCTGAGTGGCTAAAATGAGAAGAAAAGCCTAAAGAACCTTCTTTGAGCTAATATAAAATTTAGAACTAAAACCTGGCTAAAACTGCCTGTGTGAACAGCCACTATGGTAAAAGTATTTATTTTAGTGTAGTTTGTGTGGCTGTTTTTATTTTTGTTTGGTTGTTTGGGGGTTTTCAATTAAGAAAAATACCAGCTGTGGAATTTTTGGTTTGGTTGGTTTTCTTAAGGCAGAGAAGGAAGAATTGGATTACTATTTTGGACAGAGAAATCAAAGAAATATAATCACAAAATGCTTTGGTTTGGAAGGGACCTTAAAGATCATCTACTTCCACCCCTTCAAATTTTCCTCCAAGTGAGGGCAAAATCTCGGAAGGAACAAAAGAAATACAAGAACGCCAAGACCTATTAAATAGAACTAAAACTTTTTTTTCCCTGGATTCACAGGAGAAACAAGAAGGAAAAAGCCACACCAAACAAACCAAAACCAAACCACAAACCCAAGAGGAAAAAAAAAAGAAGAAAGCCAACCAGCCCAGGAGATCAAATAGATATTCCACACACCCCACCCCTCAGTAAAATTATCTGTTAAATTATTAAAAATATGTAGGAATTTACAAAGAGATGGAAACAAAATAATCAGTGGTGCACGGAGATGTTTTTGATGAACGGCAGCGGAGTTTTGTTTTTTACCTAAAATACAGCCTTGTAGCACCCGGGGGGATTAGGAAGAGAAAGGCTGACAGATTTAACTCTTGCAGCACAAGTGGTTTCACCGCAGCGTGATACCAACGCGATAAGGCTGAAACCTGATGCCAGCGTGACTTTCACACACCAGAATGTGAATGCTGCTACTACCACATACTTCAACTCTAAACACCAGCAGTTAAAGCGGCAGCTCATTTCCATGGCATATCTGGGAAAAAAAGGCTCGCTCGAGAGGAGGCTCTTGGTTTATTTATAGGCAAACCAGCTGCTTTGTGCATTCCACGATCTAGGCTGAGGTCTGTCTGCTCCCAGTCCTGTTCCGAGTTACCTCGTGTAGAAGTAAAGCTTGGAGATCCTTTCCAAAGCCTTTTTCACTGGATGAGACGCCCTGTGGAACACAGCCCCGCTGGGGATTTTCTTTACTCAAAAGAAAAATTTTTATTTTTGATGGTGGTGGCAGACAAACCCAGACTACAACTTAGGTTGGTTCATATTAAAAAATGAACGTACAACAAACAAAAGCAAATAACAGCCTCCAGTCAAATTAATAGAGGAGATGAAAATATTTCTCACATTGGAACGATTCCACTCACACCACCCAGAACTTGCTACCACTGCTCCTTTTCTCCTACTCTATTGTGCATCTGCCACCCTGCAGCTGAACTATAAAGTACTTTTAGGTGCTTTTGTTAATTAACACTGGATACATGCACGTGTGTCAGGACAAACAGGCATAAAACTCCCCCACAATATTACAAATACAAGTGGTGACAACTTTTCCACGTTCTCCACATTTGTTTTCACCTGATAATATTCATTGCAACTACAAGTTTCCAGATCTAAATATTTCATCTCGTATGGATTCGCACTCTTAAATCACACCACAAACAGCCTACGCTTCTACCTTCTTATATTTTTATGATCCTTTTAGAGGAGTTCTGTATCATTTATTTAGATTCATTATTGCTTTTCTCCCTTAAAAGCCACTTCATTTAATGTAGCTACCACTTCCATTTTTCAATATATATATATATATAGATGGGGTGTGTGCGTGCTCTGACATCATGATCAGCATTTTGCCAAGCAGCAAGCTGCAGTTTTGCCAGTCTCATGCTGGAGGAGAAATCAATGACAGATTCTAGATCCTTTATATGCACACAGACTACAAAATGTCAAACAAACCTAAGCAAGCAATTCCTTTTCCCTGGAATTCCAGGCCAGTATCTTTGCCCAGTTCCCAGAAGTCAACATAAATCAAGAAAAGACTCAAAGATAAAGACACAAAAAGACTTCCTACTACTTTCATAGTTTCAGAATGAATCTCTGCAGTCATGAATAATCCCAAATGAACTGTCAGTGCAACACACTTCCCAAAACAGAACATTTACCCACACACAGAGTGAAAGAATGGGAAAAACTGCTTGCTGGTAATTTAGACTCTCCAAATACATTTGGGAATATTCATCAGACTGGTTAAATCTGCTTTGTACTTTACAGAGGCACACAGAGCTCTGTAAAATCCAAGTACTGAGTGCTTGCACACACTCAGGTATTAACATCAATTTAAATGATCAGTTTAATTAAAGCAGGCAAGTTTAAGCACAGACAAGCCCTGCAGTGAATCACCGCTGAACGCGTATTAAAAAAAGGCAGGGGAGGGGGGGTGGAACCACTAAACTGTAACTCCTTTTCCCCACTTCTTTCCCTGAACACACTCAGCCCAATCATATGCAGTTTGTCCAAACAGGAGCTCTGCGTGGCTCTCCCCTCTCTTTGTTTTCCCAGCTTTCTCCAAAGCTGTAACAACTCCTTGGCTCTTTTTCCAGGCAAGGCTGCTAGCTTCTATAAAGGGACTCCAAAGCTGGCAGGCAGCAAGCACACGTCTGCTTGCAATATCCCTGCTTTACCATCTCTTTCTGCAGACACTCATTCCAATGCTTGCAAGCCAAGCAAGGTATTTTCCTTAGGTCTATCTGTTCCATCTTAAGCAGTGGGTAAGATAAATTCCTTCAGAGAAGATCCCAGCCCTCCCTCAGGTCATTCACACTACATGAAAGACTTAAAAAAGAGTTTTTCCTCGATGACATTGCCAGAGTTGCAAGTCAGTATCTTGCACACAAAACCCATGCTAATTTATTCAGCTCTCTTATCTGCCTCCTTTGCACTCTCAGCTGATATGAGGCACTCCAAGTTCACAGTGCTCCCCTAATGCTGCACTGCTGTTCCCTTCCCCTTCCAGAGGGAACATTCTCTGTACCTATTTAGCAAGACGGCTTTTAAAAATAGGAACACGAAATCCAGTGCTGAGTTCAGGACAGTTATGGGAGACACAGCAGGTGCAAACATTCTCTTACACAGCATTTTCTGATGATATGACAAAGGAAAACTTTACTTGCAAAGGTCTTAGAAGGACTTTCCAGGGTAATTTTCATCCCAGCATTTTCCAGATACAGTAACCAAAATCCCTTTCAGCCCACAAGTGCTAGAGAAATGTTTCAAAAAGCCAAATTGTACCAGACAAGACTGAGATTTCCTGAAGAGGGCCAGAAGGTGTCTGTGCCTCTCTAGTTGTATGCTGTCCTCAAACTTCCCACTTTCATCCATTCATTACTGACACAGAATTCCCTGTTAAAGATACAGAATTTAAAGGCAGCACAGCTTCAATATGTGGAAAATTCAGAACAAACACCCCTCCATTTAACATGCAGTTTACTGAAATTTGGAGTTTGGCCCAGCCAGAGCCTTACATGCAGACCTGTACTTGGTGTGATGATTCAAAAAAATCAGCTCGTGGCATTTCTAGTCAGAAATTTTCTGGATGAGAAACGTGCTGCTGTTTAATTTAGATTTTTTTTTTTTTTTTTCTTGCCTGATGCTGAACACATAGGAGTTAATTGGACATCAAGCTTTTAATTTTCCAGGCTCTGCAATTTTCCTGTGTTATTGTATTCAACATATTAAGGTGGCAGATTCTGTTGAACCTATTTCAAACCCAACCCAAGTCAACCTAAAGACTTGCCTGTTTTGCAGGTGCTTGCACACATCCCTTGGATTGTTCTGTTCAATGGCAGGAGCAGTGGGGAACAGGTTTGTCCCCTGCAGAAGCAGAAATCAGGTTTGGACAGGATACCCAAGGCAGGGGAGGGGCAGTTAAAACATCCACATATCCTCAAGGAGTTATAAAGTGAAATTTCATCTCACTGTGAAGCACTCACACCTCAGCCCAGCCCTCAGAGGGTCACCCACCCACCCCTTCAGAAGGCAACACACTGATCAAATGACCTTATGCACTTCTGTATTTGCATCTTTTGTCCTGCCAAAGAGCTCTGGGGCTGACAAGTTTTGAGTGTGCTTTGAAGAATTTCAGAATTGGTTCCGAAAGGTTCACAGACAGCAACGAGCTGCACGAGGCTCCTGGCTGAAAAAAGAAAGCTGGGAAAGGGGAAATTATTTGTCACTGAAGCATGAAAATTTTCACCATAAAGCAGCAAAGTTGGCATTTTCAAATTACCAAACAGTACCTCAGAATACAGTATAAATGCTATTAAAGACTACTAGAAAGAAAAATAATAGTTTTCCCAAGCACTGACTGTGATTATAAGTCATTCACACAGCTTTTCCTTCTAATTTCTCCCTACAGTTTTATTTTCAAAGATCTCAGACACCTTCTTGCTTCGATATTTCAGGAACAGGCATCTCATCTATCCTAGCCCAATAAAGCACCGAACCTAAATCAAGCTCAGCTCCATTTATTTTACTATCAGGTAAAATAATGCTGCAAGCCCAAAATTTAAAGGCAGGTTTTGTAACTAAGACAATGCCTATTGACAAACAATTATTAACTACAGCCTAATTATGCAATTGTTTCATCAATTTTCAGGATTGCAATCTGTCTTCCCAGTCTTTTTTCCTCAAACCAAGCACTAAGAAGTTCTTAGTGGCATCTTTCAAGCTAAACACTACACCAAAATGCTCTCAAACTACACATTTTTTAAATGACAGAATGATTTAGGCACATCAGTGTTTTTCAGATTTCTTGTGCTTAAAATATTCTGTTGAACTACCCAGAATTCAAGAAGTTTTAGAGATGCTGTTTTTACTAATGCCGACAAATATGGCAAAAAGCCAAATCTGCCTCCTCCAGGCTCCAGAAGGTCACACAGGAATAAATGGAGCCATGAATCAGCCCAGAAATGTGGGATTAGAAGATGTGCAATCAAATCTTAGCCTCATTAGAGTCATTACAGCAAAACTCCTATTGCATGACTTTAGTGGGTACAGGGGGAACACTTTCCACTCAAAACATCCTGATTAAGGAATGAACCGCTCCAATTTCCAGTGAAACACTGGATCTCAAATCCAGCAGGGCAAATTACTAAATCCTTTTTCAGGGCAGCTCTGCTTTATGTTGGCAGGCAGCATGCCTGGAGTATCAGACATTTCTCCCTGTCTCCCATTCCCTTATTTGACTTTGCTGACCCCAATTGAGATATGGGGAATCACATCTCGTCCCCAGGCACGCCAGTCCTGCCCAGTCCTCACTCTCCCCCAGACATCCCTGCTGAGCTCAGGGGATTTATTTACAGGCACAGGAGTTCAAAGAGGTTTTGCACCTTTTTATTAAAAAGTAGATCCTCTGTAACCTGTAGGTATCAAGACCATTCTCCTGCAGTTCCTGCTCTGCTTCATGGGCTACTTGTGCTGTGAACTTGATCCATCATTTTGTTGGCAACTGGAAAAGCTTGCATAATCTGCAGTTCTACTCAGCTATGGACAGAAATGCCCCCAAGAACTTACAAGTCCTCTTCCACAAAAGCTCACAATTATCACTGCATCATTCCTCAGCAACAGATACAGAATATGAATTTCACTTGCATGATACAGAAATAACCTGCTAAGCATTAATATACAGGCAGCAACCGCTGGCTTAAGAGATATTTTCTTCTTTTAACACATCCAGTGGAAGTTAAAATCCTTCTGCTACCTCTGAGAGAGGCCTTTTTTTGTGTGTAAAAATAGCACTAAAAGAAAAATACTTCGATTCCTCAGCACCAAGTGCTTAAGGTTGTTTACAAGCAATTGATAAAGCCCAAGAATCCAGTACAACACCTTGTTGTTTTCCAAGCAGTTACAACCAGAACTTGGAGAAGCAGCTTTTTTGGTGCATTTTTTACCCAGCTTTTCACAATTCTTCTTACAAAACGTTGGTGTTATGTAAGAGGGAGAGTTCTGATTCCCACAAAAAGCTTAACAGCTCCCCTAAAACTGGGATAAATGATGGCCAAGCAGCCCCAGACAAAGGAAATTTGGGCACTGGTATCTCCCAAACAGGCTGTTAGACCTGCCCTTGCTCAGGAAGGGAGAACATTGTGGGTGCAAATTTCTCCAAAATATACCAAGGCTATGGAAAGGGATCCCAAGGATTTGAGGGCTTTGGATCAGTTCTGTGGGGCTCTGAATTCTGGGGGAGCCTAAAGTCAGTAATGAACCAAAAACATTTCAAGGCTTCCTCCTCCCAACAGTTGCTTTAACACTGGTAGATAAACATCCATATTTAAACTATATTACTAACAAATATCTCTTCTCCAGATGGTTGTCTTATCTTTTGAAAAGCATCTTGGAAACAAACAGAAAGACCTGTATCTTAAGGATAAATAAATAAGTTATTATTATTGTTATCATCATCATCATCATCATCATCATCATACTGTGTTCTTATTTCCCACTGCTGAGGGCATTAGCTATGGAAAAGTGTCAGGAAAAATGAATCTCAGTATCTACAGAAGAAGTTCTTTAAAATCTGAAACTGATCTCTGCACAGGCACAATTCAAAAATTAAAGCAACCCTGGACTAGTTTCAAGTGCTCTTACCCAGGAATTTCTGTTACAGATGTAGCAGTGATAGCTACAAATGTTTGGAGAAAGCAAATTACCATTTTAATAAAACTGCTGTGCATGGGTACTCACCAAGCAGAAGTACACTTATACAGTGCAGGGACAAATCTCTTCAACTAAGGACAGCAGATAATTAAAAATACACATCCCCCACTGGAACAGGCACTGCAAAGGAAAACAGGGCTCACTGTGGTCAAGAAGAAACATGAAGATGAGTGAACATGCAGACTCTGGAAATACCAAAACATCACAAAAGGAAATGGGTCAGAGAACAGAAATTGCAAACATGGGGAGGGAATGTATTTGTTCAAATTTTACTGAAAGTTTGGTTTTCTACAGTGACCTTGGCTGTTGGCTGCTTTAGCTGCAGTAGCAAAACAAAAACAGAACAGGAAATTCCACAGTTGTCTGAATCAAAAAGTGCTCAGGAAAAAAAAAGGGGAAATGACAAAAATTGGAATGATTTGGCAGAAAATCAAGCAGAAAAATTGAGTCCAGCTGACATTTTTGTGATTTCTTTAAAACATTCTCTTTAAGATATTTTTCTTACTGGCATTTTATTTCAATGCTTTGTTGAGAGAATATCTTGCATTTACATACTTGAGCATAACATTCTGGGATTTTTTCAGTTAAAGCAGTTGCTGATAATGTTTTAGCAGTTGTTTTTTTGTTTTTCTGTATTAGGTAACTTAAAGCTGCAAAATCTCAGTGAACTCCATCCACGCTGAATGTGTGACAGCATCTGTCAGCCTCAATTAGTTTTATTTTGGGATCATGCTGATCAGAATATGCCAACAAAGGCACTAAAATGCATCAAAGCAAAAATAATCACCTCCGAATTTAGGAGGCCTCTTCCCATCTGACATTTCCTTGAGGACTGGGCAGGTGGAAGCTTCCCTGCGCTGCATTTTTTGTGTGCACTAAGAGCACCCATTGACTTCAACCAGGAACAGCAGAACCTGAAACAGGGAGCATAGAGGGGTCAACACCTGTGCAAAAACTCAAGTGGAACAAGAAATAAAGCTGCACAATGTCTATTGACTGCAAGAAAATGTCCTGTATTCCTCCTTGGTGTGGAACTTATTCCAGCGCAACCCTCCAGAAAATTATCAACGTGTCTTTTACAAATGTCTTAATGCTGTTATCACATATAATGTGTCAAAAATAGTTGTTGCATGTGAGCTTCACGAAAAATAAGTTTAATCACTATTATTTTTTAAGTTTCTGTGATAAGCAGCCATGAAGCATCAGGGAACTGGGTATTTTTTATTCTCCCAACAAGAGAAAAAGATGTTTCACTGTAAAATAAAGGCTGGTAGATAGATTTAAAATATGGCAGAACAAAAAAAAAATCTGATCTGCAGCTAAAATATGAGGTGGTCTTAAACAGGGTGGGGGGGAAAGTAAAAGAAATCTAAATCTTCCTATTTGAACAAGCACTTGTGTGCCTGTGTTTCACCTGCCAGCTCCAGCTGTGCACAGCAGTTCCAGACACTCTACTCACTGGCTGCTCCTATTGTCTTGGGGGACTTTTGTTTAGTCTGTGGTAGATGGCTGCATTTTAAAATAATAATAAAAGAGAACTCTGCATTATCAGAACTCATGCCAAGCAACTATAAAGAATTTTGATGGCTCTTTCATTTCGCATGAGGCTTTAATCTGCAACAATTACCTTTTTCCAGCATGTGTGTGTTCCCCCTCTGTGACTGACAGGGAATACAAAAGCCAGGATAAGTGATATTGGCTACAAGCCACTTGGACATGACCTTTTCATTGAAATGTTTAAAGCATTGGCTGCTCCTGAGGTTTAATCCTCAATTCCTCACTTGGGCAAAATGCTTACAGATCTGGATTTTTTTCTACAATGATTAATTGAGGCGTTTATTTCTGCTCCCTTGCTTTCCCAAGCAATACGATCAGGTGTGGCTGACTTGAGCACACACCTTCATGAGATCAACAGAAAAAGAGTCAGAGTTGCAGTTATTTTGGTAGTTCTTTCATGTCACAACTTATGATTATCAGTTAGGATGTAAAACGTCTGGAACAGAGTTAACATGCTCCAAATAATGCAGGATTCTTAGCAAAAAAACTCTTCCAATAGAATAAGGAGTCCTTGTGTTTGTGTTCACCACTGGGCCCACTGTTAAAATGATGATTTTAACAAGATGTCACTGTTGTTATAGTAACTTCTTATGGGTTTAGATTCTTATTGCTTTAAAACAGAATAAGTAAATTAGCATAAGAGGAAAAAATATTTTCCTGAGACATTTCAGTGCCTATAACCACAAAGTAAATATTCAAGAATCACTTGTAAATGACCACTGGGTGCCATTTTCAGTTTATGGCTGATTTGTGATATTTTTATTTTTTTTTTTTCCCCTCTTATCCAAATGATTCTGTATATCCTTGGCTTCTGAGGATGCTGGAAACCACAGAATTATTTGGAATCCAAGACTGCAAACAAAGCTCTTGGATTCCATGTGGCTGTAGATACAGGCAACATCACAGCAAAAAAAGTGATGGGTTTGTACATCACTAATAAATCTGCCCAAAGAACTCAGAGAAACCCCAACCCACCAGTGCTACCACTGAAAATCATCCCTGTGAGAAAAAAAAAAAGGTGCAAATGATACACTAGAAAAGAATTGAATTTCTGCCTGAACTCAAAGCTGCCACTGAAACAAAGACAAGTTGTTCTGGAGCAGTCCTTCCTTCCAGGATACGAATGGGATCTGTTCTGTTTGCAGGGGAAAGGGATCTTTTCCAAATGGCTGCACTGGAAGGAATTTTCCATGCAGTTTTCACAGGCTGCAGTGACTGACACTGCTGCTGCAAGCAAAGGTGAAAGTGAAGTGTTTGCAAGATGTGCTAAGCCACTCAAGCAGCCCTGCAAAGGCACAGATCTTCAGCCAATGGCAAAATAAATTCTTCTGCTGACCAAGTAAAGTTACAACACGTCAGTAGATTTCTCTGTTTAAAAGACCAAAATGTAAAGACAAATATATTTGAGGTATTTTCTTCTTATATAAAAGTTTAAATTAAAATAGATGCCTGTTCTTCCAGAAGGAGTCCTCCCCAGCAATGGCCAGAGGGCAGTGTGGCATAAAAAAGCCAGGGGGATCAGATTAGGCTAAGATTTAATTCTTCATTTTTAGAAACAAGCGGTGCTCCAATTATCAAAGTTTAACTTTATTAATGGCCATTGTGTAAGTGACACTGCAATGAGGTTAAAAGGGGCTGCTCACAGCTGCCTCAGAGCTGCTGCTGTTTGTCCTGCTCACCACTCTCATGCAAAATTTCCTCTGTAACAGAGAGGAGCAGCTCCTTAATGAGGCTCTCACAGCTTTTCTGAAAAGCTTGAACAGTACAAACATTTAAGAGGCTTCTGAACGCTCAGAGGGCTTTCACATCCAAAACACTCACTGTGACATCACCCAACTTTACAGCGGCTGTTCCAACCTTAACGTTTCAAACCTCTGTGAACTCCTAAACCCACGGAAGGTGACAGCTCTGCACAAAGGCTCTGCTTGACCATCCCAATACAATAAAACTTGAAAGCTCAGAGCCTTTCCAGTACTTCAGATAGGCTGCCAGTCTGCTTTGTAGTGTGGCAAACTGGTAATTAGGAAGTTTGACATGTAGCAAAATATTTGTGGGTTCATTGTTGAGCACTTATTTATTCAAACCTGAATTCTGGAGTTTCTCAAAACTTCTGATGCTTTCCTGTGGTTCCTCTGGGAGAAGCAGAGCAGCTATCCACAAGCCCCCCCAGCAAAATGCCATGAAGTCTTTATTACCTTTAACCAACTATTCCTGCCTGCACCTTTCAGCTGTGCTCACATAATCAGAGAAGAGAACTGGTGTCTATTGACACTAGAAATCACACCCACAAATTAAGGGTAGTGCTAAAGAGATCATTTTGTAGGTAATTCTCAGCCTCATCTTCTAAACAAACCTGTGATCTACTGCCAAGTTTATTCTAGCATTGATTTAAAAGAGTTCGAGGCTGAAAACCCTTAATGACTTATTTTTAGTGCACACTTTTGTACAGATGCATTACTGTTTATAAACACTGTCAGTATACAAGGACAAATAACAAATGCCAGAGAGATGGTTTGGGGGGGGAAAAAAAATCACCAAATTCCTGGAACTGCAGTTTTAATATAAACTCTTAGTATTTTTAACCCAATAATAATTAAAACCCTCACAAATTTGGTAATATTTACCAACACTTACCATCTCTGGTCACAGTACAATTCATCAAAACTCTGCAATTAATTATCTTGATGGAAATTAATCTGGTAAATGTGCACACTGCCAGACACACCCATGGACAGGGTGAGAGGAAGGTTCTGCCAGTATTTTATTTACTTCTATGAACAATCTTTCATTTAAAGTGTTTCACTTCTTGCTGAACACTTGTAAATGTAGGATATTGAATAATGAAAATAAAAAATGAAGCAGCAAACAATTTGTCAGTCAAAACCTTCAGTGTTTTTCATAATCAATACTCTGTTTTGCTCATGTAATGGGAAACAAAATGTTACATCCTAAAAAATCTTGTCAAAAATTTTAATTATACAAACATGATCCCTACAGTGAATAAAGTTCATGCTAGACATAGCTCAGGGGAAGTCTTCAGGTTCACATTTATCACAGACAAATTTCAGGGTTCTTTCAGCAAATATTTTATTTTGGAAACTCGAAATGCTGTTAAATAAACACAGGGAGTATCCCTGCACGGGAGCCCAAATGAATTTGAGAGCTCCTCCATGATCTAAAGCAGTTTTCTTGTCAGTCTTGACAGAAAGAGTAGGACTAGAGAGTGGTACTCAAATTACACCCATATTATGTACTTCCTCCTCAGGATCCCAGAGAGCAGGGAAGTAAACACTGAATTACTGAGCTGAAACTGAGAACAAGTTCTAACAGCCTCACACTCTCCAGGGAGAGAGTCACTGGAATTCAGCTGCTCTTTTCTCTCAACAGGGGTTGTTTTCCATGCAGCAGAAAAGAGACCTGGATGTGGGAAAACATTCCAAATACTAAACACTTCTGAAAACTCTCTGAGGTGTCTTTCTGTGCCTAAATAGATCTCAAAATGTGACCACTGAACGCCACTTTTAATTGGGCCTTTGACAAAATCAAACAGGAGGAAGAAAGGGGGTTTTTTTTTAAGAAGTGATATGAAAAGTTATTTATTGCAAAGTGATAATGAAAGTTGGTTTGTTGGGTTTTGTTTTTTTTTTTTGGAGAAAAAAAGGATGCTCAGCACCTCACTGCCTTACAGCATAAGGACCCAACCTCCAAGTAATCAAAGATGTGCACACATAGAACACCAGGGGAATTTCTTGTGTGAATATCTCCCTTAAACTGGTGTTTGAGAGGTATTACAAATGATAAATACTAAAAATCTTAAAGCCAGTTCTGGCCACATCAAAAGCAGTGAAGTTGAAAATAACAAATTGACTCCAAGTGTATTCTCAAGAGCAGTGCCCTGTATATAATGATCAAAATATGCAACACTGGGTGTGACTGCTCACATTTCTTTTGTTTTGATTTGTCCTTGACTGCCCAGGGAAAAACCCACTCCAATATTTTGTGTCATTACTCATCTCAGAAGGGATTATCTGTTACAAGAAGAAAACTCCAGCCATGCAAAAAACAGTACTAGTAAGGCAAGCTGGAGGGAACCTACTGCTCATGCTATAAAATGTGTATATAAAATTATAAACTACACATGCTCCAGTTCTCAGTGTGAAAATTAATCAGGTTTACAGGCTCAGAATCACAGAGAAAGTGAAGCACTAAGCAGGTAAGACAGTCATATCTATGGATAATGAACACCTCAAGCCATCAGTATTTTTCCCCTCCACTGAACTTTGTTCTCTTGAATCCTTTTCTCTGTTGTTTGATAAGAGCTAAATTAAAGGATTTAAAATTGATGTGCACAAAAGTT